TATTAAGGATATATTTAAAGTTCATAGATATTTGTCTCATTTAATAAAGATTGATTACTATTTCCCTAGATAAAATTATATAATAAATTTGTTTCTAAACGAGTTATACACACAAACATTTTTAAATAATTTTTAAAATAAGTAACAATCTTTGGATTGTTAAATAATAAGCCTTAAGTATTAACAGAAAAAAAAAAATAGTAATTGATTTGAAATAAATGACTTGAGAACTTTTGGTCTACCTTGTAGATAGTAGTCGATAATAATGAGTTTAGAAGCTACACAAGAGGTCACGTAAAGGTTAGAGTGCAACTTTCTTATCCACTTTTCTCACCCACCCTTTAACCCATTCTAGAATTAAAAAAAGAAAGGGTGGTGAAGGAAAAGAGAATTTTGTTAGAGATAAAATGAGATTTATATGTGCAAAGGATTTAAATTCTCTATAATTATATTATTCGGTATGTCATACTAAATATTGTATAGTATAATTATACTACGAATAATACGTTGTATATAGTTATTATTATTATATTTATTATATTATTAATAATTACATACAATAATTAATAATATAATTATTGTATATATTATAATTATAATATATTATATTATTATATTATATAGTATATTATAATATATATTGTGTACAGTATATTATAATATATTTTATAACACACAATATAGTATTGTTTAATTTGTAATTAATTAATTAATAAATTATTATATTATAGTTCTGAATGATATCAGTGTGACTTAAAAATCATGAAAAATGTAACGATTATTAGAATAAAAAAAAAATAGGAACTATTTGGTTCTTATTCTGGTATGCATGGTATACAATGGTATCTTCCCATTGGTATATATGGACCATGGTATAGTTATATACATATGTATAATAAATATATAACAAAGTTTGCATGCATCGTGAAGTGATTCGCTTCCACGACTCGCTAAATTTTCTTTTCTCTATCTTTTTTTCTCTTTTTCTCTTTTCTTTCTCTCTTTCTCTCTCTCTCTCTCTCTTTCTGTTTCTTTTCTTTCTCTTTATAATCATGGGTTAATTAAGGAAGATCTTACGTACTTAGAATCCATGTGCCATTTGGTAAATAGGACGGGAAAGCGTTAACGTTACTATCAAAATGAAAAAAGACGATCTTATCGATCGTTAAATTTTTCTCTTGCAAATTAACATGAAAATTGTAACACGTTTACATTGATTTATAATAATAAAAAAAAAAAAAAAAAAAAAAAAAAAAAAAAAAAAAAAAAAACTGTATAAAGAATTATGATCAGATAAATGAGTATATTATATACTTATTGATGATCCAATTATAATACAATAATTTGTTAGAGATAAATCTAGGAACAATATTGAGAATTGTAAAAACTTCAACTGATATGAAAAAATAATTGCAAATAAATAAATAAATAAATAAAAATAAAATAATAATGAAAAAATTAATAGTAATAATGAAAAAAAAACACGTTTAGAATAGATATTAAGGATTGGAATATTATATATAAAAATTTATCAGTGAAAATTTATTTATTTTTTAAATATAAAATATATATATATATATATATGTTAATATATTATATAAATATGTTATATAAATTTAATATATTTAATATTAATATTGTTATATATTAATATTAATATTGTTAATATACATATTAACAATGGAAAAAATTTCAAAAGAAAAAAAAATAATGATGCAATATGTTTATAGTATTTCTACGACCGACTGGATTTTCTTATTTTTAATTTTCCTTATAAGACAATACGTAAGCATAATATGCTTATATACTCAACAATTAATTTTTAAATGATTCAAGGATACTTTGATGAAAAAACCGAGAAAATATTTCCGATCTAATCGACAACGATAAGCGCGGTTTTATAATGCTTGATAAATTAATACACACACACACACACACGATTTTAATATAATTGTTTTATGGTTTAGTTAATTATTTAACGAATTTACCAATTTCACATTTTAATTGTAACATATATTATAAATAATTTAATTTTAATAATTTTTTTTTTCTATTCGTACATAGTGGGGTGTTCATTTATCGGGAAACGTTTGTGTCACTGTACTCCTGTCGATAGTCTTTTGTGTTATCTCGATACTCAAAGTTTCGATATTATTGATGTATTGATAATCTTGATGTCAAAATTTAATTAACATTTCGTCTTTAGGAGATTGATTAAAATTCACAGAATAATTTATTCTAATTGCAAGAATCGATTGACCAATCGATAAACCAATTATAATCGAAATCAAACTCGAAATTTCGTGTTTTTTTTTTTTTTTTTCAAAAATCTTTTGCTTTCCTAGTAAACTTTCTCTATTTTACAATAAGATAGTAGGAAAAATGTTCTCACCGGTTCGAAAGTTGCACGAAAATAAATTTTGTCCGAATATCTGTACGGTTTGGTGATTCGCAAAAGAGTCCGCAGAACGATTGCTATTTCCGTTGAGGAAAGAGGGAAGAAAAAAAGCTCACGATCCTTTTGCTTCTAAAGATAAATGCTCTGGGAGAGAAAGAGAAAGAGAAAGAGATAGAAAGCACGAACGAACGAATGAAAGAAAGAAAGAAAGAAAGAAGAAAGAAAGAAAGAAAGAAAGAAAGAAGAAAGAAAGAAAGAAAGAAAGAAATAAAGAGATAGAAAGGAAAGTTTTAAACTCCCTTGAAAAAAATTAGATTAGGCCATGTATCGCGATCGATTCCGAGTTGCACCGAACGATAACGAACACACAGTACTATAAGGAAGAATGAAAGAATGAAAGAATGAAAGAAAGAGAGAGAAAGATAGAAAGAAAGTTTCCCTAACCTAATTTCTCAATCGTCGAACGTAAATCTTTACAAAAAAGAAAACCTTCCCTGTCGTAAATTTTATTCCCCTTTTTTTTTTTTTTCCACAAAAAATCTCTCACGAATTTCATTTTTCTTATGTGAATTTAAAGAGAAAATAAATAGAAAAAAAGATAATAACGGAGATTATAATCGATTAAATTGAAGAATATTGAGGAACACGTTATTTTAATATCCTTTAGAATAATTTATCTAATAACGAGTTATATAATAGTATATACATGTGTATATACAAAACCTTGAATGTAATACATCCTATATACGTTTATTACATATGCTAGGTGTTTAGTTTATTCAGTAAGACTATATTACGTACTTTCTTACGTAAATAAATATATATATATGACAAAGTAATAATAAACAAATATGAAAAAGAAAAAATAATAATCGACAGAGATTTGTAAAACGTTACAAACCAAACGAATGTTCAATGAAAGAACACACAAGAAAATATCTACTACCTAATAAATGAAATTCGAAGTTTACGAAAGTTTGGACCACTCTGAAATGATTCAGAACATATTACACATATGTGTGTTATCTCACATTTTCTATTAATTTTTTATTGAAGTGATACGAATGAGAACGTTGAAAGGAAAAGTAAGTCAACTTGCTAGTTGAATTTCGTCGTGTGTAAAAGAAGTTCACATCTTCTTTGGCAGCAAGCAAACCAATATTACGATTCGAAAGAATCCAGACGCCTTTTCGTATCTTTACAAGAAAGACTGAGAGAAAAAAAAAAGAAAAAAAAAAAAAGAAAGAAAAAACAAGAGGGAAAGAAAAAGAGAAAGGGGGAAAAGAAGAAGACGGATAGAAAGAGAGAATGAGAAAGAAAAAGAGAGAAACAGAGACGGAGGGAGTCGGGGACGCAGGCAGACAGAGACAGAGACAGTGAAATAGAAAGAGGAAAAAAATGAGAAATAGAGAAATAGAGAGGATAGAGACATCCCGGAATTCAAGTGGCTTCACACTCGGAAAGAAGGAGATCCTCTGGGATGCACACGCGCGAGAAGAAGCTTCCGCGAGACGACGAGCCGCGCGTCTTTTTTTCTTGCACCTCTTTTTCTGTCTACGTTTCTCGTCGTCGTCGTCGTCGTCTTCGTCTTCGTCTTCGTCGTCTTCTTCTTCTCCTTCATAGCGCGCCGTCCGTTTTTGGTCGAGCCGAATGGGCACAACGACGACGACAACGACAACGACTATGAAGAAGACGAAGACGAAGCGTCCACCGTCTCGTCAAACATTTTCTCTCTTTCTCTTTCTTTCATATACATATATACAAAGAAAGAGAGAGAGAGAGAGAGGGAGAAACAATAGTTTCAAACATATATTTTTTTTCATTCGAATGACTAAAATCGAACTACGGTAACTTGCGATCAATGGGAGCTACACCTACTACTTTTTTTATATGTAGTGGATGAAGGATAGTATTGGTAATAAGCAATGAGCAAATAAGTTTCATTCGGAAGGTATTATATACGAAGAATTCAATATAATTGATAACTTTTGTAAAGAAAGAGAGAAATAATTTAAACGTATCATTGATCTAAATTGTGGCTCTTCTTTGATTAAAGAATATAATTAATACCAATTTGAAACTAAAAAGTCAAAGTTAATCTTGCAATATGTAACATACCTACAATCATGCATGCATAAAAACCATGATGATGTATGTGTAAATAGTGAGGTTAGATTAACTAATTTTTTGTATCCTTTCATAAAAAAAAAGAAAACATAAAATTCTAAATGTATAAAAGAGATATGTACATACTTTATGTACATAAAATATGTAAAAAGTTAGGTTAAATTAATAAATTTTCTTTTTCTTTTAGTCGGAGAAAAAAAATGGTTTTAGAATCTAACAAAATGATGAATATACATATATTGCATATATTATATACATAATATATGTATATATATGTATTATAATGTAATGTAATATGTATATATATTATATTATATATATAAAACATAAAATAAAACACATAAATATAATAAAATATAAGTAATATGAGTGAGTGAGGGAGATAATACACATATACATACATACTCTTTCGTACGTTTCCGTCGTCGCGCTCGCGCGTTACGTCGAGTACGGATATTTCGAAGGGTGCGCTAACCTGAAAGTCTGGCGAGGAATCGAAGCATGCCAACGGCGGAAGACAGGCAATGGGCCGCGGTTCCAGCAACCAGAACTCTACCGGCGATCGGCATTCGTGTCTCCTTCCTTCCTTCCTTTCCTTTCTTTCTTTTTTCTTCTTTCGTTCTTCTTCCTTCAGTTTTCCTTTTCCTTTTCCTCTTCGTCTTCTTCTTCGTGTGTTGTATTTGCCGCCTCACGCAAGCGCGCGTGCACACACTCGTATAATAAGATAGAAGAAAAGAGATAGAATATATTCGTCAACGTTGAAAACGAAGAGGGAGATATCTACCATACGTATACTTGAATGTAAACGTAAACGTAAACGTAAACGTAAACGTAAACGTAAATGTAAACCTAAACGTAAACGTAAACGTGAGTGAATCAGTAAGAGACAGACGGATTAAGCCGGCTCTAACCTAACCTTTATCCTCTCTCTCTCTCTCTCTATTTCTATTTCTTTCTCTTTTCCACTTGGAGCCGCAAAGCCGAGAAAAAAGGGACGAGGAGACACACACGAGCGTATACACACCGGAAGAAAGAAGCAGGATTCTTCCGTATCAAATATACATATACATATACATATATATATATATATATGGATTAAGAGAGAAAGAAGAAACTATCGTCGTATTTCGTTATTGGTGATGTGTGATGTTGTTGTGTTGTTACTGTTACTGCTGCTGCTGCTGCTGCTGCTAGTCGTAGTTGCACTCACGCACGATATCTTTTTATCTCCCACTCTTATTTCTTTTTTTTTTCAATTTCTTTTTATTGTCAATAATAGGAATTTTACATTTACGATGACTTTTCTCTCATGTCACACTCCGTGCTGGTATATTAATGTTGGCACTTATTATTCTTATCCTTCTTCGACTTCTCCCTTGTTTCCTCTCTTTGACTATTATGATATTGGGTTTGAGAGAAGCAGAAGAGACACTCCCAGCACTATCGGAGGGCACGGACCAACGAGGGCTCTCGTTCGCGCGTTGTACGTGAGTGCGCGCGTGCCGTCTCTCTTTCTCTCCCCCCACCACTATCTTTCTCCTTCTCTTTCTCCTTCTGTCTCTCCCCCTCTCTTACACTCTCTATCTCTCTCTTTCTAGCAAATGCGTGGAGCTGCTGTTACTGTACTGTTACTACTGTTAGTGGTGGTGGTGTTACTGTTGATATCAGTGTGTTGTTACTGTACTGTTACTACTATTACTACTTCTACTCCTCCCTGCTGTATTGCTGTTGTTTAACACACGCGTGATCGATGATGAGACGAAAAAATGATCGATCTTAAATCGGTGTTAGTTTCTCCCTATCTCTATCTCTCTCTTTCGTTTTTCTTTTTTTTCTTTTAAGAGATAGATAGATAGATAAGAAAAACAAAGAAACAGAAAGATCACGATCAAAGTTTTAATCTCTTACTTTCGTGAAGTGAAATAGCAAGTAGAATTATAAGTACAGCGTTGAATGAAATGAGAGAGAAGAAGAAGAAGAAGAGTCTCTCGTCGTTTGATGAAGAACGCGTATTTCACCATGGGAAATGAAGAGAGAAAGAAACGACACTCGAACGTCACTACGGGCGCTCCTTCTTCCTTCTCTAGGAATCGTCTTATTTCTTTCAATGCTTTTCTAATTGTTACAATTTTTATTTCCCCTTTTTTGTTTTTTTTTGTCAAATGAAGGGTCAAATAAAAAGAAATGTAATTTTTTTTTTTTTAAGAGACGACAATGCACATGAAGAAAGCAGGTATTAACTTTCCCGACATAACACTAGAAAATACAGCACGCGCACTCTTTTATCTTTTCTTTTTTTCTCTTCAAAGAAGAGAGACAAGTTTATATATATATATGATACGTATGCGTCTCTTCTTTCTGTCGTTCTCGTTCGTTAACTTTGTTCGTTTCTAACTCGTTCCTCTGGTTCTCCTTTCTCCGTATCACAGGAGAAAAGGTTACATATACGTACAGAGGATATAGAGATAGATGGGCTACTATATAATCTTACAACAGTAGTAAGGAGGAAAAAAAGAAAGAAACAAATGAAAAGAATCTTTAAATTCGATTAATTTTTCGTTGGTCACGCTGTTAAATCTCAATAACAGAAACGTGGATGTAGTAAAAAATTATCTTTAATGTTGAAGATATTATTCGTAACTGACAAATACATTGCCGTCGTCATCATCATCGTGACATCTGGGGGAGGGGGGTTTCTTCTCTATATTCTTCTTGATTACGTATTTTGTTCTTTTTTTCTCTATTTCTCTCTCTCTCTCTCTATCTATCTCTCTAAATATATATATATATATATATATATATATATATATANATATATATATATATATATATATATATATATATATATACATATATATATATACTTATCTTTGTCGAATAAGTTCTGTTTCTTGTATTATGATCGCGACGGGCCCTTCGCGGGCCCTTCTTTTATGGGACGGAACTTTAAACGTGACTACGACAGCTCTACCACCCGACGTAAACTAAACGACCCAGTCGACGATCGGTCGAACGACTACGCTGTCGAACGACTTACTGCGAGTTACGGCGTAACACAGCGCCACCTGCGGCGTTGCCACATATCATTCTCTTCTCTTCTCTTATTCGCGATCACCGCCGCCGCCACTGCCGCCGATGCCGCCGTCGTATTACCGTGAGAGAGATGGCCAATGGAGGGGCGTAAGGAAAGGGTGGGGAGGGGCAGAAGGGAGGGTTCGCGAATCGCGCTACTCGTCACACCACACACTGTCCGCTCACACACGAGCGTTGACGGTGGTCGACGGTCATCGACGTATTCTTCTCTTTCTATCCACTATAAGTCTCCTACAAGTTCCTACGATCGATTCTTTTCCCTTCGATATCGAATAACCTTACACACTTATTTTCTCTCTCTTTCTGACTCTTTCTCTTCTTACCTTCTTATTTTTCTTTTTTTACCGATCACTTTTGCTTCCCTTAAAAACCATACAAAGTTCTTTCACGAGGGTTACTAGAAAATAAGAAAGAGAGACGAATAGAGAAAGAGAAAGAAAACAGTTTTACATTGCCAATTTAAAAAAATCATTTATATAATAAAATATTAATACTTATTTATCTGATACGAAATATATTGTGATGTTTTATTCTTTATTTTTTTTGAATTCTGTCACACAACCATTTATCCTTTCTATCTTTCCAAAGTACTGCATTCGATGTTTGTCTTGTCGATTGAAATGGTCTCTATAAAGGTGCATACACATTCAGATATACGAAAAAAAATACATAGATTAATTCGTCTTATATTATTTCACCCCCCCACCATTTTTCTCGAAACAACACATGAATGTTCAGAAAATTAATAAAAACAATATTATATAATGTTTCTTACTTTTTTAAATTTTTATTCAATAGAATTGAATATTACGAAAAAAATTAATATAAAATACTTTTATTAAGTAAATAATTTGAAAATTTCGAATTGGATAATAACGGTCAGGGGTACCAATGTAAATGTGTCCGCATCTGGTAAGGACTGCCCCCTCCCTTTATCATGAAACTCATTCACTCTTTCGCTCCTTCTCTCCTCGTCTCCCTCCTACTCACTCCCCATCAAGGTGAGTCTTGCTCTCGTCCAATCATTCTTTCCCTCTCTTTCTCGCTTTCTCACTCTTTCTGCCTCTTTTTTTATTTCTGTCTTTCTCGCGCTTTTTCCCGTTCCATCGAATGAATGGTCCGATTTACAGAGGGCAACTTCGCGCACCGGAAGTACCCGAGAACTCACGGAAATTCACGAGAGTTCAGAATTGCCACGTTAAACGAATCTAATGTATTCTTTTTCCTCTTCCTCTCTATTTTCTTTTCCTTTTTGTTCTAGAAAATGTCTCGTTCTTGTATCTAATTTCTATCATCTTTGTCATATTCAAATTAATTAGATTTCTTTTTATTTTATCTTTCTTTCTCTTTTCCTTCGCTCTCTCCCTCTCTCTTTAATGTTAGAGATTTTTACTTTCTTTAGAAATAAAAAATGGTGGATGAGATCGAGCCGTGAAAAAGCACACACTGTTGTGTGTGAGAGTTCTGCTAAAGAACTAAGAGCGTTACGGAAAAGCGAGTCGCGTCGTTTTGACCCCGTAACGAATGCGAGTCTAGAATATGTTCGCGTGTCTCTCTCTCTCTCTCTCTCTCTCTCTTTCTCTTTCCATATATATTCATATATATGTATATTATTTATATATATGTATGTATAATAAATATATATATATGTATGTAAGTATGTAGGAACGGTGCCATTTTTTCCGCGACTTTTCGTGCGTGAAATTGTATACTTTATCTCACACACGCTCTCCGCTATTTTTTCATTTCTCAAGGAACGATCTTGTTCACATATTTTTTTTTCATTCTATCTTTCCTCTCCTCTCTTCTTTTCTATTTTTTTTTTCTTATTATTTTATTTCGTATGTATATCTGTTCCTATGGTTTTTTTTTCGTTCAACTACCTCACATCGCAGTGTGTGCATGGACTCGCTGTAACGGTAGTTGAATAGTTTAATGAGACTCTCGTGTATATATAAAATAAGCTATATATATATATATTTAATACATTGATTTGCATGGGACTTAATAGGTTTCTAGTGGAATTTTCTCTTTTTTTTTTTCTTTCTTTTTTTTTTTTTAGCCTTGCAACATTGCAATTTATCTACATATTGTTACATCACGTGTAGCAAACGACAACAAAACTTTATTTCTACTAATTGTATAAACAACTGTGAAAATCGGTATCCATATATTAATTGCGATTACTACAAATTTTTTCCCATATACGTATGCGTGTTCAATGTATTTAAATTGGTTTCTTCTTAAACGTACCTCTTTCTATTTGTTGTTTTGAACGTCACCATATTGAAATATGGCTGCTAATCAAATTGAACGATTCAGTTATGATCGTAAAAGAAAGGTCATTATTTACGAACTAGTAGTAGTGGAAACGGATACAAAATTTCTTAATGTTTTCTTTTTTTTTCTTTCTCAATATTTTACCCTTAAACCGTCCCCCCAAAAATGTAAAACCAAATAAAAGAAAAAAAAAGGAATTAGAGCAGTATTTTAAGAATCAGTGACTTAAAAATCGGTGTGCAGCAGAGCGTCTGTTGTCCGTTGCGTTGGAAACAAATTATGCAAGAGAAATATACAAAGTACGAACAAATACACGCACATCACACACCGGTTTTTCGGTAAAGTAAAATGATCGGTTAAAAAAGAAAGAAAAAAAGAAGATAAAAAGGCAGAAATCGTTATAAACAAAACCAGTTCACTCACATCAAAATGATTCGAATATTTAATGGGGGGTTTTTTTTTTTCAAAGTTTTGGTGTAACTTTGAGGAAAGTTTTGTGGAGAGGGAGGAAGAAATGAGGAGGGTTGGCGTAAGCAGAACAAATTAACAAAAGTTATTGAAAACATGATCGTTTCATCTCTTCTTAAATAAATCAATTAAATGATATCTTGTTATTAGTTTTTCTGATATTTTTTTTTTCATTTCGCATTTGTGTCGTATTTGTGATAATAAAGTTTATCCACACCGAAACAACGAAATATTATTATATTTATAATTTATAAAAAAGAAATAACATTTGAAATAGTGCTTGTGAATGAATAAAAGTTTAACATTTATTAGTTTTACATTCGTAAAATAAACAGAGAGAGAAATGTACGAAGTAAATGTTAGTATACATAATAATGGCCATGTAAAAATTAGTGCGATTTTATATTTTATTTTAATTAAAAAAGAAAAATAACAGAAGGAAGAGTTTAATTTTTGTGAGATCAATTCGAATAGATTAAATTACATTTTTTCGTATCTAGGCATAAACGCGCATGCGTATAAAGTATCGCCATCTTGCATCTTAAATGTTACTAGCAGTGACATCTATAAGAATTTTATGATAAACATTTAATTCCGGATATGAACTAGAACGTAAGAGAATGTATCGACGGAAAAATATGGAGATTTTTATAAATATTTTTTTTTTTTAGATAAATATTATCATTTCGTAGAAATATTTTTACAATAATTATCGAGATTAAAAATTCTAAATGGGCAATTTAATCGACGTAGAAATTTTTCTTTCTTTTTTTCATTTATAGGGGAAAGGAATAAAAAGATAAAAGAAAGAAAGAAAAACAAATGTAGTGGACGGTATGAATTTGTGGGTAACCATCGAAGCAGTACGTTTCACCTGTTGTACGGGGTTGTGTCAAAGCCGTATTTATATTTTTGAAGGCCCTATATATAACCCTTTTTTCTTAATCTATTGAAAGTAAAAAAATTGACATTTTCTTTGTAACTCATTGAAATAAAATAAAAACAATACAACATTATGTATACTGCATATACATACACATATTCGTAATTAACACTAGATATACCACCATTTTCAGTATACCTATTTCTACCACACTAGTCAAAATGACTGGTGTATAAAAAAATATGCTTTTTGAGGCTTGCAGTCTTTACTTACTCTGAAAAAATAACAAAAAATGTTTAACAATAATAATTTTAATAGACAAATGGATTTATAGACATTTTTAAATAACAAAACGCTTAATTATTTACAGAACTCAAATGTTACATGAAGTAGAAATTTTGAATTAAAATGGCCCGAC